TGGCCGCACGCCTTGTCTCGGGACCGCTTAACGTTCTCTGTTTGGCGTGGTTCTTGAACCATACCTTGTTGCTTCTGCCTAGAGGAACACTGTGGTCTGGGAAACCACTTTTTTGGTCGTAGACCACTTTTGGTGCTCGTAGACTAGTTTTCGTGGCTCTCGGCCGAGCGCCTTGCCTCCCGGACTCTTGTCTTGCATCCTTTTTGGTTTTTTTTTTGGTACAAACCTTGTTTTCCTTGTTTGGAAGGTGGTACAAGGGTGGGAGACTAGTTCTTCCCCTTGGAGACCACTTTCCTTCCTGCTAGTCAGTTTTCTTGTCGGGCAACTGGTTTTCTTGGTCTTTGGGCCACATTTTCTGGTCGGCCACCACACCATTGCCTTACTTTCATGCTACAGACCATCTCCCCCCCATGGCCGACCACTTTCTTCCCTGGGAGACCACTTCCACTGGTCGACCGACCAGTGTAAATAGCTGGCCGACCACTTCAAGTGGTCGGCAACTTTCCATCACCTTTTTGGAGATATTTTTAGGCCAGCTATTACAACTGAAAGGCACAGAAGCCATCCTCTATACACGTGTATGGAGGGATGGCTTTAGGCCAAAAGCTTGTCCGACAAGCTTATTGCTTGTTCTCTATATAAGAGAACCTCCTCCCTCCTCCTCCAGGTTCAGTTTTTGGTGCTTGAGAGTTATACATACATCTTTGTATCTATCTTGCATCTTCTCTTCATTTTTGTGTTCAAAAGTGTAGTTTTTCCATACTATTGCACACAAACACACACTCAAACACCATACTCTTGTTGCTGAGGCTCTTTGAGGTTGGTTTTGGAGTCTTTAGATTGATTTTGATCAAGAAAAGTTGTTGGAGTTGCAGCTTTGAAGGTGTTCATCAAGAGTGAGCTTCTAACCCTTAAAACCCTTATTTTGGTTTAAGCTTTTGAATCTATTTGCATGTTGTTTTTGGCATGACTTCCAACTACAAAAAGTTTTGATTTTGCATGCTTGTGATGTTTGTTTGAGGTCACTTTTGTATGAGGGGTGGTCTATCCCCTCTTAGGCCTTGTTTGGCCTTGTTCTTGTGCCATCTTTTTAAGCTATTGGGATCACCTTATTTTGGCCTTCTCACCACTGAAACTTAGAGGAATTTCAATAGTGGAAATGGTGTTTTAAGGTCCCAAATAGGAGAGGGTCATCCCCTCTCCTTCTGTCTTGAATGCTTGCCTTATTAGCCTCATGTTTGAGCATGTTTGTTAAGTTTGTGTTGGCCACATCTTAGCCTATTTTATGCCTTATTTCAGCATGGCATACCACTATTTTGGTTTGGTTTTGTCACCCCATGCATGCTCCTTGAACTTGTAGTGCAATTCCATGAACTAGCCTAACATGCATCATGTGTTTAGACCATCATTCTAGCATGTCTTGGCTTAACTCTAAGAAGCTTTTGTCCATCTTTTAGCATGCTCTAGCTCTGATTTGTGTTGTTTTGGTCATGCATTCCATGCTTTGTATAGCTATAATGCATTCTAGCTTGTTAGCTTTGTGTATTAAGTCCACTAGCATGCATTACTTGGACTATTTTCATGATTTGGCATCATTTGAAATGTGATTTCAGTACATGTAGTGTGGCCATGCACTTGCATTTGTCACTCTTTCAATGCGTTGGAGGGTTTCCCCTTTATGCCTTAAACATGGGTCATTGCGTATGCCTTTATGCCTAAGCTTGCGAGCTATCATTTCAGTGTGTATTTGGGGTTATTTTGCCATGATATAACTCTGACCTTTCTTGGCGAAGCCATCTCATGCTTGGTCTTAGTAGGTGTAGTGTAATCCTTCCTTTTGGCCTTGTATGTATCATGCCATATGCCCTTCATGTCGGTTTGTTTTGGCTTCCTTGCATATATGTTTTAGTATCATTTTGACATGTTATAGGACTATTTTGGGTTTCCATTGCCATATGCTTCATGTTTTGCATAGTTGTAGTACAAATACCTATGCTAGCTTCAAGTTTTGGGCACCATAGCATGCTTCATTTGCATCATGTGTATGATTTGGCATCATTTACCATGTCATATCAGAGCATATAGGACTGCCATATTCCCACTTCATTCACCCTTTGAGTGCCTTTGAGGGTTGTGCCTTTGTCGCCTTGTTTGTGGCCTAGCATGCATTCCATCTTGCCTAGGTGTTTGAGCCCCCATCTTAGCATGTTTTGGTCATAGTTTTGACCTATTTGAGCTCTGTCCATGATCGGTTCATGCCTTTGTACCATGTATTGCATGCCCCCTTTGTAGTCCTCTTTGCTAACTTTAATGCTTAAGGACGTTTGCATGCTATACTTGTCACATCTAATTTCAGAGCTTATAGTGTTGTTACACCTCCATGCTTGTCACTCTTTAAGTACTCTTGAGAGTTGTGCTCTTATGCCTAGTTGATGTTGCATTGCATTGAGCATGTTTGTCTTGATCTTCATGCCTTAGTTTCATCATTATGGCCACTGTTTTGGGCATGATTGAGGTCTATCCATTTTGGTTTAAGTCCATTGAGCATGTTATGTGAATGTTGTTACATTGCATCATGTTGTTGCATGCTTATGTTGCCTTGCATTGTGTATGCATGCATTAGCATTGTTTGTATGTCATTAGCTTTGTTAAGTTGATCATGTCACGTTGCATTGAGTATGCCATGTTGTTGTTTGCATTGTGTATGCCATGTTATTCTTTGCATTGTGTATGCCATGTAGTTGCATTGTGTTTTGCATGCCTTGCATTGCATGTTTCCATGCTTAAGTTGCATTACATGTTTGCATGCCTGAGTTGCATTGCATTTGTTTGGATTAGGTGTTAGTCCAAACACGAGAAACGAGGGATGTTTCATACTGGAAGTGATGAAACGTGCCTCAATTCTCGGTCGCCGACGCTCGTGATCATATATGATAGAGTTCAAGGCTTTATGTGTTTATTTGTGCATTCATTTTACATTGAATTGTGCAATTTGGCCTCTCGGCCATCATGCATCAAGATGCGCGATTGATGGCCCGAGGGTCGAGAACCACACTTCCTTGAGCTTATGAAATGATAGGGAGGGTGGTTATGCATACATATCTTGCAAATACATTGCCATGCCCTTTTTTGCTCTCTGTTACAGCAAACTGGAAAAGTGCAACAAAAACTGGTTGGCCAACTAGCAAAACTAGCTGGCTGACCACTTTTTCTGGTCTGCAGCAATGGAAAGTGGTCGGCCAGTCGCTGGAAACACCCCTAGGTGGTCGGTGGCCCTCCCACAGGTCCCTAAGGTGAGTTAGAAGCTTTCTGGACCTTGGTGCAAGGTTCTAAGAACAGTTGCAAACAGAAGCAAATCGGGGCATCACGTTGGATTTACAAACGAGGCGACCGAGCATGCATGCACTCCTCATCTCGAGGACCTCTTTTTACTGCTTTCCTTAGCTAGTTTACGCTTTGGTTCTGTACCTAAGTAGTTGATGCGTTTAGCTGCTTATTTGTGTTGTAATAACTAGTTAGTTAACTTGTTAGTTAATTAGCTTCGTTTTGTACTTAATTAGCTTCGTTTTGTACTTAATTAGTTAGCTTGTTAGTTAATTAGTTTTGTGATGTAATAATTAGTTTAATTAGCTTAGATTAGCTAATTAGCTCATTATTCGGACCCTCCGTCGAGAGGGCCAACTGTTGTAATAAGCGTGCATGTGTGTGATGCATGTCTTCCAACCCCCATTTCTTTCTCCCTTTTACTTAACCTCTTACGATGGTTAGTTCTAGGGCATATTTTAATTAGCATCCTTATGCTTCGCATGCGTGTATCCATTTATCTATTTTGCATGCACCGGGCTCGGTGCATCATACAAACCATATTGTATTTTAATATATTTTACTTGAATACGTGTTCAACAACATGTTATCAAGTTGCATTTCACATGACATTCTAGATAGCTAAGCCTATCTTAGTTGCATTGTTGCATGTGTTGCATTATCCATCTTAACACGAACTAGGATCATGCATGATTTCTAACTAGTTCTCTGTTTTGGCTTGGAGTACATTGTGAGTGTTTACGCTTTAGCATACTGCATGTGTGTAAAGTGCTGCCATGTTTAGCATGCTTGCCATGAGGCTAACGGCTTAACTAATATAAACTGCATGAATGCCTGTGGGTGAAGGTTGGATTGCTTAAATTGGAACAATTCATTGAAATCCGCAATTTAGCCTACTTGCGAGTAGGAAACTTCAAATCATTTTCACAAACGAACATGCAATGTTTTGTTCCAAATTAGGTGATTTAGTCTATACTTGTATGCTGTGCGCATCACGTAGTAAGATTAGCTAATTAACTGGAATAAGAACACATGTGTTTTCAAAAACAACATATCATGCTTAGTAAAGACCGATCTTTGATCGGGCGAGCGGGGGTGCTCATTGCATAACCTTCCCCTCTCGTACCCAAGTTCCCGAGTTGAGGTAACTTTGGTGATGACGGACACATGGCCTTAGGTACGAGTCAGGGTTTTCTAAATTTCTCTAAAAAATAAAACATTTAGGTGGCGACTCTGTATCTGGCAAAGCAGTCCATGTTTGGCACTTCTTTATAAAAATCAGTTTTCCAAAACGATTTGTCGGATTTGGACTCTTTGGTGATTTATCAATCTGGCATTGCACTTAGCGATATTGGATTCAGAACTGTGACATTGAGTCCAAACTGTAGTAGCTCAGAACAAAACGAATTAGTGCCCTCACCGGCGCAGAGAGCGGAGAGTTCTCAGGGTGGTCTACACATGCTGGCCAAGGCTGCGGCATGTGCTACAGCATGTTGGCCATGGATGTGGCAGGTTGGCTAAGGCTGCGGCCTGTGCTGCTAGCCAAGGCTGCGTCCTGTGCCGCAGAATGCTGGCCAAGGCTGCAGCATATGCTGCTGAACAAGGTTGCGGCCTGTGCCGCTACATGCTGGCGAAGGTTGTGGCATGCTGGCTAAGGCTGCGGCCTATGCTGCAACATGTTGGCGAAGGCTGTGGCTTGCTGTCCAAGGTTACGGTTTGTGCTGCAGCATGCTGATCAAGGCTGTGGTTTGTGCTGCTGGCCAAGGCTACGGCATGTGCTGCTAGCCAAGGCTACGGCATGTGCTGCTAGCCAAGGCAGTGCCCTGTGTTGTAGCATGCTAGTCAAGGTTTTGGCTTTCTGGCCAAGGCTGTGGCCTATGCTGCTCGCCAAGGTTGCGGCCTATGCTGCTGCATGTTGGCCAAGGCTGCGGCCTGTGCTGCAGCATGCTGGCCAAGGTTGCGGCACATTAGCCAAGGCTGTGACCTGTGCTGTTGGCCAAAGTTGTGGCCTGTGCTGCTGCTTGGGCTGCTGCCCTGGCTGTGGCCTGTGCAGCAGCCAGTGCTGCTACCTTGGTTGCGGCCTGGGCTGCTACCTTGGCTGTGGCTTATACTTCGGTCCGTGCGACTGCCTTGGCTGCAGCCTATGCTGCTGCCTTAGCTACTACCTTAGCTAGGACCAGTTCTATTGCCTTGGCTGCAGCTTGGGCTACTGCGGTGTCTGCGGCCAGTGTTGTGGGCAGTGTTGTCGCCTTGGTTGCGGCATGGCCTGGCCTATGCTGCTGCCTTGGCTGCGGCCTATGCTGCGACCAGTGTTGCTTCCTTGGTTGTGTCTTGGGCTGTGGCCAGTGTGGCTGCCTTGGCTGCAGCCTAGCATGTGTTATCTCTTGGCATGTCGTGGGCTATTTTTGCACTGTGACTGGGGCCTTTGCTTGCACTTGCACCAACAACTTCTTGGGCATGCCTTTGGCTCTCTGAATTCCACAAATGTGTGTGGCATCAACGTGTTGACCTTTGGATGGACGCACCTTGACACCTTGCCAAGTGCAGCACCCTATGCTGCAGCATGCTAGCCAAGGCTGGGGCATAGGCTACTGGCCAAGGCTGCGGCCTGGGCTGTTGGCCAGGCTGCAAGCTGTGCTACAACATGCTGGCCATGGTTGTGACATGCTGGTCAAGGTTGCGGCCTGTGCTGCTGGCAAATGCTACGGTCTGTGTGACGGCATGTTGGCCATGGCTGCAGCATGCTGGCCAAGGTTGCCGCCTGTACAGCAGCATGCTAGCCAAGGCTGGGGCCTATGCTGCTGGCTAAGGCTTCGGCCTATGCTACAGCATGCTGGCCAAGGTTGAGGCTTGTGTAGTAGGATATTGGCCAGTGTTGTGGCCTGTGCTGCAGCTTGCTGGCCAAGGCTAAGGCCTGTGCTTTTGGCCAAGGCAGTGGCTTGTGCTGCAACCTATTGGCCAAGGTTGCAGTATGCTGGCTAAGGTTACGGCCTATGTTGCAAGATACTAGCCATTGTTGCGGCCTGTGCTATAGCATGCTGGCCAAGGCTAAGGCATGTGCTTCTGGCTAAGGTAGTGGCCTGTGTTGCAGCCTGCTGGCCAAGGCTACATGTAGACGCGCCCGCGGGCCTCATGCTACAGTTCGGACTCGATTTGTGTCACGGTTCTTAATCTGAACCAAAGAGTCCAAATCTGGCAAATCATTTTGAGAAACAGATTTTTGAAAAAGTAGTGCCAAACATGGACTGCTTTGCCAGATACAGAGTCGCCACCTAAATATTTTAAAATGGGAAACTTAGGAAACTCTGACTCGGTGCCGAAGGCCACATGTCCGTCATCACCGGAGTTGTCTCGGCTCGGGAGCTTGGGTACGATCGGGGAAGGTCAGCTATGAGCACCCCCTTTCGCCCGGTCCGAAGACCGGCCTCTACTAACCGTGATATCCAATTTTGAAAACTTTATGTGTTCTTAAACCAATTGTTAGCCTAGAATTACTATGTGATGCGCACAGTGTACAAGTATAGACTGGGCAGCCTGAATTGGAACAAAACATCTCATGTTCGTTTTGAAAAACGGTTTGGAGGTGCAACTCGCAAGTAGGCTAAGACATGGATTTTGCCACCCTCGGGTGGGCTTAGAAAACATGACTTTGCCACTCTCAAGTGGGCTTAAAACTCACATCC